TGACTTAGACACTCCCAGGCTGGCCTAAGACTCACTGTATACCAAGGATGACCCTGAATTTCTGATCCTCCTGCCTCCACCTCCCCAGTGCTGGTATTACAGGCCTGCAATTTCATGCCTGGTTTATGTGGTATTGGAGATCAAATTTAGGGCATCTTGTATGCCAGGCAAGCAATCTGCCAAGACTAAGTAGCAATTTAGTAGCAACACATGCTAGCTCTTGTTTTTTTTTTGGGGGGGGGTGGGTTTGAGACAGGGTTTCTCTGTGGCTTTGGAGGCTGTCCTGGAACAGTACTTGTAGACCAGACAGGTCTCAAACTCACAGAGATCCCCTTGCCTCTGCCTCCTGAGTGCTGGGACTAAAGGTGTGCACCGCCACCGCCTGGCTAACTCTTGTTTTTGTAACTTATGTAATTATAAACAGTTTGTTTTGTCAGAGGTTTTTAGAGTCTTATGCTCATATATATATGCTCATAGCATTTTTCAGAAGGGATGATTTTAAAGTGAAATTAGCTATATTCTCTTTATTTGGGGCTAAAACAATTTTCATTTGGGGGGGATGAGATTGTTCGGTGACTTGCTCTGTATCCTGGGTTAGGCCTGACTTTTGATTCTACCATTGTTTCCTGAATACAAAGATTACAGATATATGCCACTATGCCCACTTAAATTGAAAATATACATTAATGTATTAAAAGAGTTTTTATTTATATGTGTGTTTTCCTGCATGTATTTATATGCACCACATGTGTGCCTGGTGCCTGAAGAGACCAGAGAAGGTGTCAGATTTCCTGGGGCTGGAGTGAACCTCCGTGTGGTTTCTGGGAATTGAACCTGTGTCCTCTGGAAGAGCAGACAGTGCTTTAACCACTAAACCATCTCTAGAATTTTTGTTTGTTTGTTTGTTTTTGTTTTTTGAGACAGTGTTTCTCTGGGGCTTTGGAGGTTGTCTTGGAACTCCCTCTGTAGGCCTCGAATTCACAGAGATCTGCCTGTCTCTGCCTCCCAAGTGCTGGGACTAAAGGTGTGCACCACCAATGCCCTTATTTTAATCAGCATTTCTAATATTACTTGGAACTTCTGTTTCTTAGCTTTAGTAGCTCAGTTCTTTGAGTTGTCTTTTTACTTCCTTTGCTTTTTCTGTAAAAAGGAGTGCTTTTCTCCGTTTGCATGGCTGTTCATTCCTTCTATTGGGTATATTTTTTTGCTGAGTTTCGTACTCCAGGAATAGTCAGTGACTATAAAACATAATTTTCAATACAGTTTTCTGATATTAGGTGGTTTATGAGATGAAGATGTGATTATTTGTTAGCTGGTCATAAATTTACTAATTCAGATTTTACAAAATTGCTTGGTGGCACATGCCTTTAATCCCAGCATTCAGGAGGCAGAGGCAGGTGGACCTCTGTGAGTTCAAGGCCAGCCTAGTCTCCAGAGCGAGTGCCAGGATAGGTTCCAAAGCTACACAGAGAAACCCTGTTATGAAAAAGCAAAAACAAACAAACAAAAAAACCAAAAAAATTATTTTGGAT